GGGGGGGGGGGGCGCGCGCACGGATCACACACGCGCACCTGTCACACTTCACCTGTGCTGGCAGCTATTGTCAGGATGAGTTAACCCCACTTGTCCTCCATCCGGGGGGGGGGGGACCTTGGCCGCGCCCCGCGGGTGGGGAGGGGGCGGGTTTTTTTCCCCTTTGACGCGTCAACACCTGGGACCTCTCCGTGTTATGACTCCCCGCTGCCGCATCTGCCGCGTGCGCGCGAGGCCTGCCACATCTGGGGAAAGCGGTGCCAGCTGTCGCGCTCCTTTCACACGTCTGGACGGCGTCCCGCGGACACCTAGCTGTCACTCTGGGTTACCTGAAGCCCACCTCACGGTTAGAGGCGAGACACCGGCTACATGTGCATCCCCGCGCCACATCTGCCGTGTGTGTGTGTGTGTGCGTAAGAGTGTGTGTGCGTAAAGTGTGAGGCCGGGTTTGCTTATCCGAGCGTGTGCGCACTCGCTTTTGCGCGTAAAGTGAGAAACCCGTTTGTGTCCGTGGCTGTGCCTGATGTGCGTGGCGTGGTTTTGTGGTGCGCGCGTGTCCTCGGGGCTGAGGCTCCAGCCTTCACACCTCTCAGAAACACACACCAGGCGCCGCGGTATGTGGGTCAAAGACTGTTTTAGACGAGACTGTCAACGCAACGAGCCCCCTGTTCGAAACTGTAGAAAACTTGGGACAGTTCCCCCTTCTGACGAAATCCATTTAAGGTTTACAACTGTAAATACGCACCGTAACATGTCACAGAATAAAACAAATGTGGCCAATAAGATAAACAGCCATATACACAAAACAGGACTTTGATTTCCTGTAGAAAAATTAGATTTTTGTGTAAAGAAATGGAGTCACATATATAATACGTCCTTCTTCAAGTCGTGTTTAGGTTCTTGAAGGACATCCCAAACTTCATCTTTCAATGTTGCCTGCTTTGTTCCACCCCCAACTGACCCGTGTCCCTGTATTTGCAGTCCTTTATGACCCGACTTGGCAAATTCTCGGTTTTTTCGTACCGATTCATTTTTTTTTTTCTCAGAATGGGCTCTTGACAGCCACCCTTTCACAGCCACTTTCTCTGATGAGGCTTCACCGAGCAGCAGATGGACCAAGTGAAGAGTGAGAAGCATCTCTCAGGTCCCCAGTCAAAGTCTTTACCTGTAGCAGGCCTGGTACCACCTCTTTTCATCCTTATATACCAAAAAAATTTGTCCAACATTACGCGTGTAGTTTTTCCATTGAGCATTTGCTGTGAGCCATACTCGTTTTTCAAGAAATATTCTACAATCTTGTCAATAGAGTTGTGAGCGTTACGGGACGTGAACTATAAAGTCCTTTGTTTTTGGTTTCTTTAATCTGGAGCCCAGACGATGGCTGATGGGTTATCTTAATATTCACCCCGTTGTGGAGTGATGAGCTGTTGTTCAGTTTCTCTCTAAGTTGATGATTCCAACCCAACATGGCCGTGTGGTCCATTTCACAGGGAACAACCGGGCGGCTGGATGTCTTTGGATGTGTTTTCCAATCTTGCTCAAAGGCCTGGATAGAAATGTTGCAACACCGGAAGCTGATTAGATCTCAGGCTTTTATCCGAGCGCGTTTGGATTTTTTCCCCCTCCCACCTCACCAATTATTTATCTTATTGATTACAAATGGGGGGGGGGGGATGTATGCAGGCTTGGTCCTCTTAGTCTGAGGAACCCCCCCCCCAGCCCTGGATGCTGGGGTTTATATCTTTATCTGTGACACCTCTCTCTCACCGACGGGTTGCCGTTTTGCGCTTTGGCGCATTGGCTGAGTGGAATAAAAAAAAGCCTCTTGGACTGGGATTGCACTTTACCGCGCTATTGTGTGCCGTGCCATGCCAGTGTGACTCTTTGTCTATCTCTGCAGAGGGGTTGCCAGTTCCGCACACCTCCAGATCAGCGCAACGCGCATCCCTCCCGAAAGCCCTCCAACACCGAAGGATCTCCACTCTAATTAACTGAGATTACAGCAATTAGCAGACCATTAATCACACCCTTATTAGTTTAGCCAGGCAGAGAGAGAGAGGGAAGGGAGGATGGAAAGTGCAATCGGATGGGAAACGGAGGAGGAAGGAAGGAAGGAAGGATGGAACGTGGTGGAGAGAGAGAGGTTCTCCTTTTGGCTACCGCGATTTCACGCTGCCTTTCTGTGTCGCTTCAGGAGCACAAAAAACAAAAAAAACAATGTTTCCCTGTTTAATAGGTGTCTACAGTATGATGTAGGAGGCTTAAGTGTGTGTGAGGTGTTGAACAACAATCGCAAAAAAGCCAACACGCACCCGCACCCGGGCGCAGACGTGCCGTCATGCCGTTGCAAACACAGCCCCGTGCTGATTCTACATGTGAGAGGAGAGGTGGAGATTTAAAGTGTAATGCGTTGAGTCCTTAAGACAACTGCTCGCGTGTGTGTGCGTGTGTGTGTGTGTGTGTGTGTGTGTGTGTCTGTTGTGGTGGTGGTGGGTGGCAGTGTGAGTTTGGGTTGGCACAAGTGCTGTTCTGTTTAAGGATTGACAGCGTGTGCATGTGTGTCTGAACGTGTTACAGTATCAGTGAGAGCGCGTTTGTGTGTGTGTGTGCGTGTGTGTGTGTGAGTGTGTGTGTGTGCCAGAGGGAAGAGGTTGTGTGTGTTAAGGAAGGAGTGAGAGCGAGGAGGCTTCAGAGGATGAATGTCTCAGTGCACTCACATCTGATACCATCCTCTATCCACTGTTCTCCCCCCCCACCCCCCCC